ATCGTTCGGAATTTACGAAAACCTGCGTACGGCTCGGCCGAATCGCCGAAAGGCCTCGCGCGTTATTTTTCGCCGGTATCCTTGAGTGATCTTTTTTTCTTCTCTCCTTCTTCTTCTTCTTTTTTCTCCCTCTCGACGAGCCGGAAATTCGAGGAAGGCGGATTCACGAGCGTGATTTTTTTTTTTTTTTCGAGAACTCTGATTTTATTCCCCGGTCTGCGGATCCGAGTGATAAGGGGACGCGATATATAGAGAATCGCGGATAACGTGGCGAATGTATTTTTTTTTCCCCTACGGTTTGCATGATGGGATCATGTTCGTCATTAATTTTTCTCAAATTTGTTTATAGGTATTTTAAAAAGTTTATAAAAATGAAATTTCCCAAGTTTTAGGACCTACCTTAGGGTCTCCCATATTCACGTTTCAAAGTATGAAACGATTTGAGACACCCAGTCCTATGAAAAGTTTTATGAACGATTGAGCTTTCGGGTGCCACTTTCACATCCCCTTAAGCGACGAAAAAAAAAAAAAAAGAAAAGAAAAGGAAAGAAAAGAAAAAGAAGGAAAAGTAATATCGGTTTAATTTTCGAGCTCCCGTTGGCAACCGATCATCCCGACACATCGTGGCCTCGTCCACGGGGAAAAGTTAACGAACTCGGCGAAAGGAACTCGCAGCCTTAACGGTGAAAGTCAAGTCAAGAGTTAATTCGAGTCAAAGAAGAGGCCCGGCCATTTAGGGCGACTTACGCACACGGGGCCGGTCCGATGACGTCAAAGCAATCCCCTGTACCGAGAGAAAGGAAGTAAAAGGAAAAAAAAAAAAACGACGGGATCGGAAAAGTCGCCGATAAGAGTCTTCCCCGTTTCCCGCAAAAGTGGAGTCTCTCTCTGTCTCTCTTTCAAATGGTCTGTCCGAACGATTCCCCATGACTCACTTGGGTCTCTCCTCGACCCTCGCCACTCGCTTATCCTTGCAATTCCTTCTTCTAGTAGATAGGTATCTTGGCTTGCACTCGACGTCGCGCGCCTTTTCCTTCGCGACTACGTGTAGAAAATGACAAAACCCAATAAGAGTCGTCGCGGCGCCGATGGAAATTATCTCCACCGGGTAACAAGTAGCTCCTAAGACGTCAGAATGCCCCATCAGTAAAGGATTAAGATGGACTCGGGAAGAAAAACGAGCTTAAACGAGGTGGAGAAAAATAGCAAAAGAAAGATAGCGACGGTCTAAATGGAACAAGGAGTTCCTAAAACGTCAGAATGCCCGATCAGTAAAGGGTTAAGATGAACTCGGGAAGAAAAACGAGCTTAAACGGGGTGGAGAAAAATAGCAAAAGAAAGATAGCGACGGTCTAAATGGAACAAGCAGCTCCAAAAACGTCAGAATGCCCGGTCAGTAAAGGGTTAAGATGAACTCGGGAAGAAGAACGAGCTTGAACGGGGTGGAGAAAAATAACAAAAAAAAGATAGCGACGGTTTAAATGGAACAAGTAGCTCCTAAAATATCAGAATGCCCAATCAGTAAAGGGTTAAGACGAATTCGGGAAGAAGAACGAGCTTAAACGGGGTAGAGAAAAATAGCAAAAGGAAGGTCTAAATGGAACAAGCAGCTCCTAAAACGTCAGAATGCCCGATCAGTAAAGGGTTAAGATGAACTCGGGAAGAAGAACGAGCTTAAACGGGGTGGAGAAAAATAGCAAAAGAAAGATAGCGACGGTATAAATGGAACAAGTAATTTCTAAAATATCAGAATGCCCGATCAGTAAAGGGTTAAGATGGACTCGGGAACAAGAACAAACTTAAACGGGGTGGAGAAAAATAGTAAAAGAAACATATCGACGATATAAACGGAACTCCTCGCCTTATGGGTAAAACCGTCTTAACGAGTACAAGAACGCCTTATACAAAGGGCAAGAAATTGTCATAACAAAATTCCTACGTGCACATCCATACTCCAGAAGGAGTTAGTACTGCAACAAGTGCCACTGTATTCAACCCGTGGAATAAATAATTCTGATTTCCGCGCATATAATACATGGAACTTTAAGGACCCTTTGTTATGGACAAAGGAATCGACATGGAGTCTGGACGGTGTTAAACAATGTTCTTGGCGAACTCCACAAGGCCAACCTCACGTTTACCGATTCCGAAGGCCATCGACATAACACACTAATTGTGACACGCCTACTGAGTAAACGTCGCTAACGACCTCACCATATCGACGACGATAAACCTTAATACTAAGGATAAAAAGTAATAACAAAGGCCGTAAGTCGGCTAGCCTCGACATTTGGTCTCGAGTGGATGTACTCGGGGTAGGATGAATTTATCTAGACCGAGACAGGATCGCACTTTCCCAGGTACGGCATTTTCGGCGAGCCATTAGAGTCCATTCTTTCCCGTCCGAAGTTATCTGCTTATCGGGGTCCCTAAGCGATAGGCTATAATAACCGAGCCGATAACGCGGCGATCGGCGACCAAGAGAAGAATGAGGAAACGGCGAGGAGGATCGCCGCATTTTCCTCCTTCTCTCCTCGGCCAGCTGGGAAATTCGTCCCATAGATACGATTGTCTCCTCGCGAGTGATTTTCCGACTCCTGGTGACTCATGACGTTTCCTCGTTTACATCCGCTTATCCTTGCGACTAGATGCCGCCGATCTTGGGATTAGACCCTGAACTTCGCACCTCTCCTTAGAAGACTCCTGAACAAGGAACTTCTGAAAACACAATGGACGCTCGCAAATCGAGGCTAGATCTCCATAGCAAAAGACCGATGACTCCTGCGAGGGGAAAAAGAAAAAAAAAAAAAAAGAGCAAGACCTCCGAAGACTGGCTTAAAGTTCACGGGTATCAGAAACTATCTCAAGGACTCCCTGTACACGTGGTCAAATTTGAAACGATTAGGTACTTTCGATTTAAAAAGAAAAGAATAAAGTTTCATACACGATCTACCCCTCGGATGCCGCTTTCATATCGCCTTAACCCTTTGAGCGCTCTCGACGCATATGTGCGTCCGACGTTTGGCCCAATATCGCGCGCACGGTCTAAGGAAATTCGCCCGTATGTCGAACGTGCTTAGCGCTCAAAAGGTTAAGCCGTATCCGTGCCGTATCCGCACCGAAGGAAATGACATCCCGCGATTAAATTTATATCTGCGAATTCATCAATTTCCGAGTACATGCAACCACGGAAAGCGATACGGAAACGCGTAAACAGCCGAACATAAATCCGAGAAGTCTTCGTCCTAGACCAGACGGAATTCCGTATCCGCGGGTCGACTTGACGTAATTAAATTCCCTTTTAGCCCGCGTTTCCATGAATCCCACAAGGAAAACAATCCGATCGCTCGGCATTGCCGATCGATACGGATCTCTCTCTCTCTTTCTCGAGGTTGAATAAAACTCTGTAACACGACGTTCCCCCGACCAAACGAAACATGGTATTCAATTCTTGCCATCGATGACGTACTTCGCGTTATCGACCAATCACGCGTCTATCAGTCAGCTGATCGGAAGAAGCCACGATTGTCTATGAATGAGTACTACTTCAGCCCGATCTCCTAATTGTATTAAAATCTAAGAAACATCTCCGAGGAGCCCCAAAATAGCCTGAGAAAAGAAAAAGGTTGACCGACTCAGAGAAATTTGCATTTCGACCAAAAATCCTGTGATCAACAATGCCCTAAAAAATGCCAAATTGAGTAAACAGGATTCGTTTATATGAACGTCAATTTTTTTTCCTCGAGAAAATAATTGTTTCTTGCAATTATATACAGCCAACGATATATATATTTGTATCGGTTAACTAATTTTTTATCTCAGGACACGAGGGGCACTTTATGAATTTTCATACAGACTCTTACCGTAAATCTTTGAAGTATCGAGTGGCCCGTTTATTCGAGCGGGCCCGAAATCGAGAAATGTATGAGGGGCACGACGTGGAACCGTAATTTGCCCGAAGCGGTGAGAGTCCACGACGCCTTTACCATACGAAGCCGGATACAAGGAAAAATACGGATCGGTCCTTTGCTCCCGCCTTTGAGTAAAGCGAGACATTTTGCGGTGTCACTGAGCGAGGTTGCGCCTAGGTCGCAAAAACGTCCGTGCAAGAATTGCCTAGCAAAGCCGAGACCCTTTCAATTTCGATTTACCTACTTAGCCCGACGCATACATGCTCCGACTGTCACAAGAAATTAAAAAGTACCCAAGAACACCGATTAAACGAAAAAACTCCCCATGACGCAACCTCGACACGAGGGAAAACTAAACCTCTCTATCGACGAGGCTACCGAAGCCCGGAGACAGAAATATGTGAGGCTCCTCTCCCACATTTTGACATAAATCAAAGCCTGGCTCGTTGTAAATTGCATAACGTGCCTCGAGGAGTCAACCGAGTAACGGGAATATTTGTAGATAGCACGACGTCGTTTGCATAGTTCTCCTTTGAGTTCCGAAAGCCTCCGAGGTGTACGGGCCGATGACCCAAACTGAAAGGAGGAAAAAAGAGAGAGAGACTACAGGTACTGGTTTCGCACCTTTTCCAAGAGAGACAGATGCGTCGCAGGTGCAACGGGACAGAAGACGTAACGTCGCGTCGCTCGCAAAGAAGTAATCGGAGGCTTTCGGAGTTCGATGCATCGACGAGGTGAAAACTGGAGAGAGAAGAAAAAGAGACTCGCGTGGGTCGAGGCTTAAGCGACGGTGCACTACTCCATCGGAAAACGTCGACGCAGGACGTGCGTGTGCGTGTTCGATGACGTCTATATCTGGCGACACGCACACCGACGCACGTGGAATCCTCTTAAGGAGGAGCTAGACAGAGAGAGAGAAATCGGGACGACCTCCGGAGAAAGCTGCGCCGAACGGAACCGCCGGCGACGCTGAGCCCCGTCTCTCTACCCGGGCAACATAACCTAAAAACATCCCAACAGAAAACAAACAGCGGAGAACCAGGGCGGCGCGCCACGCTTCGGCGGGGATATTTAACGAGGTCGACTAACCTCCGTTTCTCCTTCGGCTTCCTTCTCGCGTCCATGGCCTCTTCGTCGTCTCGACGGGCGTCTTCGCGACTGACCATCCGGATCGCTCTCGGTCACTGCCGAGGAGGTTGTCCAGACGTTCGTCGCCCGTGCACCTTGCCTACCTCCAACCGATGCTCTCGCTGTGCTGCGTCTCACTCGCGGCCGAACCTTACTGCGTACCGATTTCTCCGCGTCCGTATTAACCGAGGTTCTACGACGCGCGGTACACTACCTCGCGCACAGATCTGGATTTCGAATTCCGGTGATACTCGGGTGGGAACGCATGCCGTTCGCTGCTGGCCACAGTCGATGAACGCCAGACTCGTGACGAGTATGGCAATGGTGGTGGTACTGGACGATAGCGGGAACGGACACTCGTGGCAACACTGGTAGTGGTGGCGGCGCTCATGGTGCCCACCGACGCATCCCGACGCGTCTCGACGCTCTGCGTGTGTGGGAGTCGCTCCGAGGCAGCATTCGACTTGTCGCTTTGCGCTTACCCTAGACTTTCCGCCCGTTTCTGTCGACTTTGTCTTTGTGTGAGGTGCGGAAGGAGGGACGCGACATCATGACCGCTCTTCCAAGATGGCCGACGACCGTCGCGCCGGTGGCGCCATCCGTGTGACCGTGCGGCAACTACGTACCCGATGGGTCGGTACGTCCCTCTACGAAGCGCGCGCACGTTTGAAATTGAAAAAGAATCTATTTTTTCCCGCGAAAAAAATAGCAGCCTTAGTTATGCTAGATTTAAACAGAGTTTAAGGGAAAGGCTTCTTTTGTTTGTTGATTGCATCGGAGTATTCGATTTATATCGATGCGTATCGGGACGAGAGAGGGACGGCGTTACCTTAAAATGACTTTATTAACTCTTAACTTTACACGTGTTGAATATATACTTGCCAGATCTATCTGTATATGAATATTGTTATTATTCAGAGTACTTCCATATATTAATGACGATATTATATATGGTCGTAAAGTCATCGTGGGACGCCCGGCAAAAGGCTTCGTCTATTTCGCCGAGGGTTAAATTCTCCTTTCCCGCGGACGAAACGGGGACATATTTATATCGAAACTTCGACGACGGACGTCCCGCGCTCGATACAAAAAAACCTTCGTATCTGCTTTTACAAGGATCGATGAGTACGTTTTTGCACGTGAATGTCGAAGCGTTGCGACGGACAGAAAAAAATAATCTTGGAAATCCAGGCAACAAGCTGCGCGCGCGAAGCGGGCTCCTTCCCTATTTTTTCTTCTTCATCTTCTTCTTTTTCTCGTTTTTTCTTCCTATCCTTCCCTCGAAATCGCGCTTTTCGCGGCAACGAGCTCGCTTGGAAAATCGACCAGTCTTGGGGAATCCTATCCGGGATTTTTGCCGTTGGATATCTCCCTTTAGAATTACAAAATATTCCCGTAAGCCCGTTGGGTTTCTACGGTCCGAATTTGTCGCCATCCCGTGCATCTGGAAAGTCATTTTATTTAATAAACAGGGGCTTAACGAATCGTGAGATGCGTTTCAACGTTTCAAAATGGCGGACTCGTCCAGCCTGGACATTTCTGATTAAAGTGGCTTTAGAACCTGGGAACGATTACTTGAGAGTTGACAAATATTGCCAATATTTCCTGGATTCCTCCATCATATTTTAAATCTCACTTTGAAACGCATTTCAGATCCAACCCCCCTTAAAATCAATTGTTTGGATTCTCTACCTAGATTTCGAATATCCGAATGTTCACTTTTCAGGATTCCAATTAGTCGGATGCCGAGCCCTTAGGTATTTTCAATTACATCTAAAGCACCATTTAAAAAGAATCGTTGAAAAAATGGATTTAAAAAATACCAAGGACCACACGGGACGATTACAAACTCAGATACATAAGTCTCTGCCGACATTCAGTACTTGGTATTAAATAGGTGCACAATTAATGCGACACCACGAGGTAAATAAATGGGGAGGCACATTAATTATCCACCGTGGAAATATTTTAGCCTTTCTGCACTTTCGTCAAACTCGAAAGAGCAATTCGCATTGTCGAGCGTTAATCCTCTCTTTATAAATATCATACATGCTTATGATACACAATCTCCGTTTTACAGTAAATACGACGGTGGCGTTTGGCGGATACGCGAAGAGCGATGATATGAGAGAAGCGTGATATGAAGTTTACACTTGTTTATCGCAGACTACGCACAGACACGACCTGGTTAGGCTAACAGACCCCAAGAATTATTACCACCTTAAAAAAATCCCCATTCCACCATTAAGGGAGCGAGAAAGTGCCATCCGAGGGGTCATGAAGCTTTTCTCCAAGCTAGGTGAACCGAATCGAAGTTGACAACGTGAACATGGAGGCTATTGGGAAGGTTTGACCATCCATGTTATTTAATTATTTATGAAAGAATTTTTAAACATGCGTATAAAGAAATTGTACAAAATTTCAAATTTCATGGGTTTCAGGATCTCTCTTGTAACCTCCAGATTTACGCTGTAAAGTTTGGAGAAGAGCTTCACAAATGCGACCTCTTCGACGCCATTTTCGTCCCACCTTAAGGGGCCGAGAAAATCGCCGCCAATATTCTTCCCAACAATCGCGGAAATGAACAACACCGTTCGTCTCGTTCGTTATCGTATCTTTGTACCTTAAGCCTACTACGAGAAATTTATTACAGCAGAATATCGAGGCGTTTATAAAATAGCTCAAGCTGATATTTTACAGTGCCGGGATATAAGTACTAACGAAGCGAGGAATCTCTTTCACTGTACAATAGGCGGATAAGACGCGGATTTATTGCGACGTCGTTGCATACACGTTGCGCAATCGGACTTGCCATTTCTTTTTCGCTTTTATCAGTCGCGCGGTTAAGAAAATAAATTCACGTCGTGTTCTTCATTCGGCGGCGATTTTACGGGCCTCATTCGGGTGACCGTAGTTTCGCTCTCTAGAGGGGGATGGTGGATTTCTTCATTTTCTTTTTTTTTTTCATTTTAATCACGGCTGTATTGAAAACACCTCTTAGAAGTGTATCCATCTCTCTCTTTCTCTCTCTTTTTTTTTCTTTCTTTACAGCGACCTCGAACGTATTTCTACATGATGCAAGGTGCGATGAAAGGCGAACGACAGGTCCCGATTTTCTTTCCTAGGACAAGACTTCTCTCTTTCGTTTTTATCCCCCTGTTGCGACAATGTGATTGCGTGATGGGCTCTAGTCTTTTCTGTGTCTTGACTTGGCCAATAGTCATCGCGTAATACACGTGTATGTATAACCTACGGTCATACGAGATTCACCTGATGAATCCCGCGAGACTTTAGACCAGTTTCCGTATAAACGAAACATTTTCTTTCTGTTTCTTTCTTTTCTTTTCTCTTTTTCTGTTGTTACAGCTCCAAACAAACGGCACTAATTTTCCGACAGAAAAACGTGGAGCCACTGTTACATGTTAATCGTTATGCGTACAACGTGTACCTGGTGTTAATACAAAATATGGTATAACTTTACAGATCTCCAAAAAGGGGTCGGCTTTCGGCGGAGCTGGCGAATCGCTTCGCTCTAAGGAAGGAGCGATAAGGAAGTTAAGATCAGTGCTCGAAATCCCGACGATAAGGGCTGTCAATTCCTCAGTAATTCCCCGGCATACACGCAGAAAAGGAAATTCGTCGATTAACTGAAGAGAATCTACCGTTTAATTAAAAAGATAAAATGCTTTGTCCAAGCGAAGGGAATTTTTTTACTCAATTTTACCGAAACTCGTTCGCTTCGAGCAACTAAAGTATTTCCATCGAAATCTTCTCTAAATGATTTTAGAAAGGATTTTTTATAACGAACCAAATATTTCGGTCGAACGTACCGAGTTATTATAATTTTTTCTTTTTCTTTTTTTTTCTTCATTTCACTGAAATTCGAACATCTATCTGCGTGTACATTCGCCCAGAGAGAAGCGACGAGCGATTGTCTCTGCGATAAACAAGGCCCCGAAGAGAGCCTCAATTATCATATCCCTAGACGTACTTAAGACTTAACGTTACAAAGAAGTGAATTATTAATAATACATTATTGTAACTTCAATTGATTACTCGTCCTCCGACACCCCGAGTATCCGATCGATCCGAGCTCGGAGTTATCACGGAGTCGTCTCGTTATCAGCGCGATTCTTGCGGAGGTCGGATCCTCAAAAATGCACCTGCAAGATGCAGATGCACTGCAGATCGGCAACTCGAGGGTCCACCCTTTCCGACTTTCTTTGAAAATGATCAGATTCGATGGGAAATGAAATCAGAAAATGGAGGAAAACTAAACACTACCCCGAGAAAAAAGAAATTCATCGAACCAAGGAAATGATTCCCTGGTTCAATGAATTTTTGTTTTGTTTTTTTTGTTTTTTGTTTTTTTTTCCTCACGGTAGAAACAGTACTTCGCTGACATACACGGCGTGGCCCGTACCCTGTCTCCTTGTCGGAACTGCACGTTAATTACAATTACCATTAATAATTATTATCGTCACCTTCGTATAACATAGCGGACAAACGGATAGACGAAAGAAGAAAGGAGAGGGAAAATCACGACGAGAGTGAATCGTTTCTGAGCGTACAGCTCACGCGTTCTCCATTTCATTCATTTTCTCTATCGGTCATTCATGCTTATCTCCTTCTCCGTTGCACTCGCGCATTCTCACTATTCCTCTCGCACTTTCTCCCTCCCAGGCTGTTCCATCAGCGTGTCTCAACGTTCCCTCCCTACGTCCCTTTAAACATTAGTTATTTTTGGCTTGGTAACTATATAAAATCTAAATTAAATAGTCATTCGTGTCGAGTAAGCGGCGTCGGTCTCTTCCGGTCGTCAAGACCCCGAAGAGAGCCCGAGGCTTCAGCATTGATACGCCGAAAAAAGAAAAAAGGAAAAAAAAAGAAAGAAAGAAAAAAGTACATCTCCTTGAACAGTACCAGAGAATAATATTTTTAACTCTAGGAATAATCATTTGACTCGGATAAACTGAAATAAATGAAATCCCGAAGAGCCGTTGCATCCAATTTCTTCCAGTTTGAGTAAATTATTCCATGAATTAAGGAAATACTTCTTTGGTTCAATTAAATTCCTCTTTTTCTCTCGATCGCTTCCCGTTTAGCGGTAGAGATAAGGAAATAAAATGTAAAAAAAGAAGACGGAGCAGATATCAGAGATGCGCACTGCGTTGGTCCTTGGACGCCTAATCGGCGATCGGGGGAAGAAAAAAATTCTTGTGCGCGAAAATCGAAGTTAAAGATGACAAAGTCGGCCCAAACACCAACGCGACCACGTGGTAGTATATAAAGTAAATGCTGTGACGTCCGTCTGGCAGTAGTGTGAGTGTCGGCGCCCTCAAAGAAATTATGTGTATCAAAATTGTACACGCGCGCCGGCCGTATATATAGTCTATCGAACGACGATTAGGTAATTACAGGTGCGTACGAGTGCGCCGCGATCAGCGTTCCGACTCCTCGGTGTCCTCGAATTAAACTCTGCGTGGCCTACAGTGCCAATGGAAGCACTTCCTGTCGCCTGGAGACTCTCCGATCCCCTCTCTACCTCGAGACGAGGAGACGAGACGACCGGACTCTCCGATATTCTGAAACCTCGGAGACGATCCCGAGTGCCGACCCTCGCCCGTTCGACGACCCGTTTCGACGAGCTCCTTCGCCTCTTTTCCCTCCCACACCTCTAGGGACCAACAGCGCGAGACCTCGTACAAAATCGTAGAAAAAGTTCCCAGCGGAAACGAGGCGAAAGAGATCGACATCGGCCGGAAAGTGCCCTCTTCTCTCTGGCAGTGTTCCGCGGTAGAGGAGAAATAGGAGCGACGAGAAGAGGAACTTCTATTGAACGGAAGACCTGCCCTTCCCAAACGCCATTATTGCTGGAGCAACGGCACCGTCCGAACCCTTCCTATCCTAAAAAATCACGAGTTACCGATTCCTCCGGGTAGCCATGCTCCCTCCACCCTCTACAAGCCGAGCGAATGGGAATTTCGCTGCGAAAGGCAACGCGTGATTTCCTCCGTTCGAGTCCGCTTTCTGCAGGGTTTTGTTTTTTCATCCTTTCAGACCTCTAGGTGGTCTTCCTCTGTCGAAAGGGATTTCAGATAAAATCGGGTTCCTGGGGTCTCGTTCCTCTGCTTCGTCGCCACTTCCCTCTGCCGCCCTCGAGAGAGTCTTGGGTCGGTTTTTTGGCTCCTTTCTCGTTTTCCTATTTTCTTTTCCCCCCCGTTTTTTAACGGATCGTCGAACGGACGTCGATGATTATCGCCCGGTGAAGATGGCCATCTGTATGTAGCCGTCGTTGCGGCCGTCCAGAGGAGGTTTCTTGGTCTGGTGGTGGTGGTTGTTAGGTGGTGGGGTTTGCACGTGCGTTGGGGAGTCTCCGAGCATCGCCAGCATGTACTTGCGCGTCGGCGAATGCACCGTGTTTTGTTAGGGCGGTACGTAAGGTGGAGGCTTTCTGTATGTCGGGGTCGGTTTCGGCCGATTCTGTCGATTGTTGTCGCGACTCGTCGCGAATGGCGGAGGGGGCTGATAGGGCTCTTCCGAGTTCTCCTTCGGGAGCATCGGCACGTCCGCCCCGTCCTCGGCCTTCTGGTACTCCGGGGGTGGAAGAGGTGGCTTCTCCTCCTTCAAGATTATCGGGGATTTGTTACCTGAAATGGCGAAAATAAGGGAAATCAAAAGCGACTCGTTACGAGCGATCGAAGAGTAGATGTCGACGAAGCGGGCGTTAAGGTTTCTCATCTTTTGTCTATCCCCCAGGAGGATACTCATTAATCGACATTGCATTTCCATCGACAATTGCAGAGACACAACGTACCAGGGTCCGGTTTCTCGTCGAGCTCGTCCTGGAATATCACAGGGATTCCTTTGTTCCTGAAGCTCTGCCTCTCGTCGTCCTGTTCGCTGACGCTCATCTTGCCGCTACGTCTTCTCCTGTACAGGACGCATGCAATAATGGCCGCCAGGATCAGCATCGCCGAGATGATGATGGCAGGAAGGACGAAGGTGATGAGGTAGTCGTCATGGGAGGCGCCGAGGGAGGTCGAGTCGTCGACAGGGGGCACGTAGCTATCGGGTGAGTGTATCCCCGTCAACTCTCCCAGACAGATCCTCATAGGAGTCAAGGTAATCTGCATCACCGGGAAGTCTGGACTCATCACTTCCTCCACCCGGTCGGACAACGTCTTGTCGTCCTTTACGAGGACCTTGTGCAGCTTCACGATCTGGTCGTTTGGGCAGGTGTTCGTCGGCAGGGTCCTGTTGTGCCAGGTCACCACTGTGCTGCCCCTGGAGATGCTGTCCAGGGAAATCGCCCCGGTGTCCTTGTCCTTGAAGAGATCGCGCAGTCTCTCGATGAAATTCCGCTTCTGCAGGGCCGAGTGGGCGAAGGAGTCGTAAGGAATGGCCAGGGTCATCGAAAACTCAACGTTGTGGTGCATCACTGGAGCTGGGTGCACCACGACGACCAGACCATCGGTGGCACTGACGCCTGAGACAAAATAAACGCTTTAATTCCATGACTCGAGAATTTCCAAGCTTTAATCCTGGACTTATGGAACGAACCTCCTTTGTCGGTGACTATCAGCTGGTACTCTTTTCGTCCAACGTCCTTATGCAATGGCACGCCATAGAATTCCTGGTTCTTCCCGTCGAATTGCAGCCACTCGTGTGGTGGAATCGGAGTTCTGTCTATGGTCAGCAGAGACATTTTCATGTTGCGCGCGGAACCGTCCTCGGGGTCGAAGAACGTGTCCTGGAATCAAGAGTTTGACGTCTAGGTCCTTCAAAAAGAGAGGACAATAATGGGATAAATGAATTGAACTCACTTCTGGTACTCGGAAAATCAGTAACTGTCCAACGGTGGCGTTAATGTGGTCCACTTGGTTCCTGGGAATAGGTGGGAAATTCGTCTTCGGCTCCTGTGTGGGAGTCTTCGGACTGTCCGGTCTGCTGACCTCCTCGCATTGTCCAATCCCTTGATAAACGACTCGTTTCACCTGGAATTCCGGGGCCAAGGCTTCTTGCAAGGCGACGCTAGGCTCGTTGTGTCTATTGGCAACCAGGACCTGGGGAATAAAATATTTATTCATAACCTGCGCCCTCGATCTCCGATTATACCGTCCGATGCTCTAGGTAGGATCTACTGACGTGCAATAATTTATTGATCTGGTCCCTGGGACACTCGCTGCCTCTAGGAATGGTGTCGTTCGTCCAGGTGAAGATTGCCTGGTCGTGGTCGAGCTCTATGGACCGCACAGTGATCTGGCTGATGTCGCTGTCGCCGTATAATTCAGCGAGTCTTTGGATAACCTGAGGTCCACGATAACAGTTAGAAATTTAGGTCAATGCCTTATACCTCTTAACATAAATAAATCCCTTAGGAATGAAAAATAGAGAGGCCCACCTTGAGCTCCCAGTCGACATTTGTTGGGAATTCACTGCGTCTGAGAATCCGCAGGTAGATGCTGAACTCGTGGTTCACCGTTCGGCTTAATTTGTGCTGCTGAACGTGAATGTCCAATCTATCGGACACATTGAGACCTTCGCTATCCGCGGCCACCAGCTCGTAATCCCAACTGGAGATATCCTTTTCCAGAGGCCTATCGACGAACAAAAGCGAACTCGTCACCCTCAGAAAGGAAATACTTCTTAGGTACCATTTGAAGATATATTGCTTCGGCTCAACGAGATTTCATTTTTACTCTGGCGATATCAACTGACATAAATTATTGACTTTAGTTATTTTCTAACCGACCACTTACAAGCCATAGATCTTTTGGCTGCGCCGATTGAACTGCAACCAGTGGGTGTGCTTTATGGGGCTGTGGTCCAGGTACAAACTCAGGGCCAGCTTCCTGGTGTTGCCGTCTTCGAGGTCCGTAAAGGTGTCCGCAGGGATGGTGTAGTTCAGAGGTTTGCCAGCCGTCACGGCGATCTTTTGTAGGCGTTTATCTTGTCTCGGTGGGAAGTTGTGCACGCCGTATTCGATCTTCTCGGTGGTAGGGATTGTAGGTGGAGGTGGAGGGGTGGTCGTGGAGGTGGTCGTAGGTTGGGTGGTGGTCGTCGTGGTCGTCGTGGTACTGGGCGAGGTAATCGGAGTGGAAGGAACCGTCGACGGCATTTCCGTCGTCGTGGTCGTGGTGCTCGTCGTGGACATAGTCGTCGTCGAGGTCGTCGTAGACGGCGTCGTCGTTGCTACCGACGTCGTGACGGGTGGCGTCGTAGGTTCCTTCACCTCGGGCATCGTCGTCGATTCCACCGTCTGCGGGGATAACGAGATACTCGGGTTCATCAAAAAGCAGGGAGGGAAAAATTAATATAAATATTAATTAGATAACACCCTCCTCCACTTTACAGCTTATCAGGAATGCCCTAGGAACTCGGCGAAGCGACTCCTTGCGCATCCTGGACCTAAAATAAATTCTTCTACCAAGCCACCACACCGAGAAAAGATGTTCATTGAACCAAAGAAGTACTTTGTTAATTCATAGTTGACGCTTTGGGTCCGACTCAAACTCCAAATAAATTTAACCTGGTTCAATGAATTCGTTTTTCCTATATATTTATATATATATGTATACTTTAATATCCCCGGAACACCCTGCTGTACAAAGCCGAAAGGACGAAAAATCCTTAAAAGCACCACCTTCGACATACGTGAAGAAGACCTGATAGGATCCAGTCGCGCGGTTCCCTGTTCCTCTACATAGCGACGAGGACGAGGTACAAGGGAGCTACAGATAACTAAGGACGAGAACGACTAATCAAAGCGATAGGTATACTGATAATGTCTCGCGAGAGGTGTGAGAAAAGCCAGCGAGGAGCACCGCACAAAACGGGGAGCAAGTACTACTGTACAACATGAGGAGCGAGTAGTGTGGCACGCCGAGAGGAAGAGTAACTCACTGAACCAAAGAAATGCCTCGTTGCTCCAAAGAGTAATTCCTCTGAAGCTAAATTAAATTCCCATCGTTCCGAGGAAACGTCGCGTCCAGTTTATTCCAGTTTCCTCGAGTGAAATAATTAGTTATAGGAATTAACCGATACGTTTCTTAGGTTCAATGACAATTTTTTTCTTCCTCTCTTGGCGTACAAGGCGCAAAGCGATCAAGCATTACCTCGTCGGTCGTGACATTAATGGTAACCGCGATCGTGTTAGTCGGTTTCTCGAAGGTCGTCGTAACTTCGGGGGTGCCAGGTTGTACGGTGGTTGTCACGTATGACACGGTGTTGGGGTCCGAGGGGACAACCATCGGAGCCGTGGTCTCGGGCTCGAGTTCCATTTTTCTCGTCCTCTCGGTTGACTCCTCGAGGTCCTCCGACCTCGTCGAGTCCGTCATCTGCCCTCCCGATGTGACGGCACCCGGGGTTGTCGTCATAGCCGAGCTGGTTATCGTTGTTCCCCAGGTTCTCGGGGATGTCGGCGAGGTCGTTGGCTGAGGTGACGAGTGGACGATCGATTCCGAGCTCGATCTTGGGGTTTGCGTCGAACCAATTGTCGGCTCGGTGGAGGTACTCCCGCTGCTCGAGGCCGTCGTCCTGGTGCTCGTTGTTCCCGTTGTCTGCGAAATTGTTAGTCGATGCGTTGTATGCCATGAAAACCTGGTTAGTTACGCTTACAGAGGGAGGAGATTCCCTAGATGTGATCCGAACTGCCTTTCGGACCGCTTCCTCGTTACTTTCCTGAGATCACTCGGTTGCATCCTGAGATTTACCCGGTAATTAGGGTAGTTACGCCAATTATTTAAGGAGGACCAGTGAAGTGAAGGATGTGACTTTTTATGAGAAAGTCGTGGCCGATGGTTTCGTGCACTCTTCTTTTTTTCCTTGGAATTATCAGGAAGAGGTTCCAGGGTTTGTTTTTATTTTTCGAGATGTTAATTAAATGATAAATCGGAAGGGTTGGATCTATACATAGGGCACGTCACAGGACTGGACAGAAAAATTTGTTACTCGGCGGAAACATTTTTTTCAAACGTAATTCAGGCACAGAGGAACACAAGGCAACGTGACACGGTAATGGATTTCACCGCGACAAAGCTTTGCATTATTTTCGCGCTCGTTTTTTATGACTATTAGAGTGATCGAATATTGATGGGAGAGATCTGACGATACGCGCTCTTATTAAAAGTCCTTTCATTGAAATCAAGTAAAATTTAATTAACGGCACGTTATCATCATTTTCATCAACCTTGTGAATCATGATTTTCATCAACCTTGAACGATAATATCGCAGGCAGAAATTAAATCACAAAAGTTGATTCACCGCTAAATTTCATATTTTCTTTTTTTTTTTTGGTTATCGGGGAAAATGGCTGTACAGAGAATTGCAGAATGCAGAATGGCGCAGTTAGCCGAGATACTCGCCACTCGTTCAGGAATGGCGACGAAGAAAGAGGACACTTTACAAGCGCAACGATCCCCATTAAGCTCAGATACAGAGAGGAGACCCGGAAGAGCTACACGCAAGAAGGAAGCAGATATACAACGACGTATCTGACGAGTCGCGATCGATTTTCGAAGCGGAGAAAGAAAATTCCCCCATGCAGTCCGACTCACCGTAGAAGACGAAGAGCTTCTCGTCGTGGTCGGGATGGCATCGACGTTTTCATTCATCTTCGCGACGATCTCCGTCTGGTCGATCTCGTCGTTCTGCGAACAAGGATGAACGAAGGTAAGGTGGGATATTTTCAATTTTTTTTTCTTTTTTTTTTCTTCAAATTTTTAACATTAAAAAAAAATTACTATAATACCGTCGACTGTGTTTCATCAATTATTTCAATTATTTCTATTATTTCGATTGTCATATTTTCAGATCGATTAAATTTAATCACCCCGAAGTCTATGGTCTGCTCTCCGTGGTGATGTCTATGGGGATGTTCCGGCTTCGTCTCCGTGTTTTCCCTGCCACCAGGTGCCTTGGGGACGTGCTCCAGGGGCGACTCGGTGAAGGTCTCTTCGTCGACGTCGTCGTCCTCTTCGTCGTCGTCGTCGTAGTCTCCGTCGCCGTAGTCTCCGTCATACTCGATATCGTCGGCGTTCCCGAAATCCCCGGATCCGATCTCTCTGCGGTTCCTGGCCAACGTGTTCGCGTGGGTCCTGACACACCAGACGAACACGGGGAGCTGCAGGACCTCCGTCAGGGTGCCATCCTTGGCCTGCTCTCGTAGCTGCTTCACCAGGTCCGATTGATGTCGCCAGAGACCGCCGTTGCAGCCAACCTGTGGGAACAGAAATTAAAAATCATCGAGGCGACTAGAAAAATTGGCAGCTTTAATAAATCAACGACGAAGAATTAAACAAGATATGGGGAGATACCTCACGTTCTCTGATAATATATATTATATAATATATATTTATAACATATATTTGACAATATATGTTGATAAAATTTGATATTTGATAACAAGAAAATTTACTCTGGTTGGATTTAACGGATTTACCCCCGACCTATGTAACATTCATGACGTCACTGTTGAAGTCGTATCCATTAAATGTTAATAAAATCGTTTTGCATACAAATTTTTTTTTACACGAATCACGTGTACACAGAGAAACGTCAAGCAATTTTTGCACCATGCAACCCTTCCGTGACAAGCAAAGTAGATCAGTAAAGCCCGGAAAATCAGGGAGGAGGAAAAAATGAAAATCGAGCGAGGGTGAGGAAGAATTTTTATTTCTTCCTGTTTTTTTTTTTTCACGGGGAAAGGGAGGAGTTTCCTCGACGCATCTTTCGCCTAATCGCTTCCTCGTTCCGTGGGTTCCCTCTTTTTACACGTTCCTTCGAAATCGCCGAGGATAACCCACCCTCGGCCCTTCCTCTCGTTAGCGCACCCCTCCGAGACTGATTACAGGTTTCGTCGGGAGAAAAAAAAGAAAGAGAAAAAAAGGGGCCTGAGTGAGGATAAAAATGGTATTCCCGGTCAAACGGAATTGGGTTGGGTAATTACAAGACATCAGCCCAGAGAGCATAATTTCCTCCGCGTCAGAGATTGCAGGAAAACCCCGGCAAGAACGAATAACTCAAGGCGTTATGAAAGGTTCACTCAGTACATATAAAGACGTGAAAATGTATCACGAAGTCGGATATTTTATTCCCTCCGATCGCCCGAGTTTTCGGCCTTTTTAATAAATCTCAGTTTTTTACCCGGGGAAATTAGCGAGACACGGCTCGTTAATCGCGTTTCGCAATGTAGAAAGTAGGGTAACTCTTACATTACTCGTTAAAGTCGCGTACGACGTCGATAATTTACGCACAAGAGCATTGGTCGGCTCGTTAAGTAATTCCCTATCTCGGGGACTCGCAATGTCGCGAGATTAATTGACTCGACTAAATTAGCGGATCACTTTGATCGATCGAAATTCCCGCAGATCGTTAATAAATATGGAAAAAGTTCAAATTCAATTTGGTAAGATCAATTTAAATACTTATGAGAGAATTCGGAGTACGAATGAGCGATAGAAACAATGATGTTGCATCGCAAGCTGTGCATTGTTGCACTCCCTTATGCACTCTCGAGGCGAAAATCGGGTGCAACGATATCACCCCTGCCTCGTTATCACTTGGCCGACGAGCTCGATGCTTGGGGTCGGGAAAAAGAAAAAAAAGCTCCAAAGAGCGAGATAAAAGCTCGGGATCCTCCTGCAGGATGAATTGAATGAGGATTTCAAAGTAATTAAATTTAAAGCAGGTGCAGCCGGGGGCATGTCTTTCTTCCTCGAGCCCGGAAGTCGCGAATGCGATCGAGATACAAATGCGTGCACACGTTGCTCTTCTCCCCTCTGTACAGAGATCCCCTGGGATCTGCACGTATCGGTGCATCCCTTGTTGCGTCTTCTCGTACGCGTGGGGTTCTGCAAGTGCATCCGGTGCATCCGGCGCATCGCTGCACTCGCCGCGACGTCGACTTCCCGTATTCGTAATGATCGCGAAAGGGATTCTTCTCTCGGTAGAATCGAATCCAGCCATTCGCTCGCGGAAACGTAGAGTTTCTCCTCGGTCACTTCTGTTGGTCCCCTTTTTTCCTTTTTTTTCCCTTTTTTCCCTCTCCCCCTTTTCGAGAAACGGGGGCAACGGGCTGTCGTGCCAAAGACTCGACAATGCGAAAGTGTGACGTGTATACGTACCAGAGTGAAAATATTTATCAAACTTTTATCCAAACTGGGTGCCCTGAATTATCTGAAACCTTAACACGTGATTATGGAGGCTCTAAGGAAGAACGCGCTGCCCGTGAAATTTCATTTTTTAGAAAATGAAACATCTCTTTTTGGTTCTCGTCCGAGATAAATGCGAAATTTTTCTCGAAAAAATGAAACTTTAAGAGCAGCGCGTTTCTTCCCTAGAGCCTCCATGATACCATGATAACGTGTTGAAGTTTCAGATCATTCGGTGTACCCAGTTTGGAAAAAAGTTTTATAAATATATGTTGACTTTTTTGGTGTATATTGGTACATACATATATATCACACTTTCATATCACCTTAACGAGCTCGCGTTTCGAGGATAAATCGCATTCGCACGTACTTCCCTTTAAACGCCGGATTACTCGTCAGGGTTCGAGCGCGATGGCATTCATTATTTCACTTTTTTATTATTTTACTATTTCATTTCATTATTTTATTAATACTCCAACTACGCATTTCGACGTAAATGCAGAACCTAAAGTTAGTAAGTGTACCAAGGTACGTTTCGATACGGAGAACGTTCATTCACATGGTTCAGAGTGTCTCGAACAAATGGGTCTCTTTGGGTATCTTCAATGGGAGGAACGCCCCTGACGATCTCTCTCTATTTCGCTTCCCCTGGGAATCATATCGTGCAGAAGACAGGTCCTTTGAGTACGAATTTAATTGTCCGATATCCGGCAATCGGGTAATGCCTCCGTTTCGTGCACACATGGAAATACGATCGAACAAATTCAGGGAATACAGTTTGAGAGACTTTATCTGCCTTGCAAAAGTGCAGATGGATTTATACCTTGATATAAAAAAGAAAAAAACGAATCGTAATAAATAATAAATGTGCGCATGACCTGTACACCGGATGGAAAAATAAAAATCTGAAGTATTCGATCCATGCACCCTATAGTTTCGGCACTTTAGTAGCGAAGGCTATGTTCCTTTAATTTTTTCTTATGATTTCTTAAACTCCATTTAAAGGAATAATCTACATGAAAGTAACAACATTGTTTCCAGAGTATGAGTCCAAAAATGATAAGGTACGTATATGAGTGGTATCGTACAGAGAGGGCAATTCCTCTCTGCTCTGGTTGCAAGGAAAAACATGAAAGCTGATCATTTACCTGCCACTGTATGGCCGTGATGTGTTTTTCCCGGCGATGTTTGACGTTCCCGAGGCCTGCGAAGACGACGGAGGAGACTTCCTTCGGCTCGTAAGGATGGATCGAGAAGGCGCTCTGAAATGAAAATCCCACCATCAGGGACCACTCTCGACCAGGGAAACTCGAAGGGGCACGTAGAGGAGCGAAAACTCCCCGAAAGGCTTCCAAAGGTCCCTCGGTCTCCGGGAAACTTTCCTCGGATATTGGACTTCCCTTTGAACGGCGAAAAGAACCAGGTAGTTATCCCAGAATGGTACTCGCGAGTGTTAGAGGCACGTCGTTCCCGAAGGAGAGGTCTTTCCAGGTTGCCGAAAGCCGACGACGAGATCAAACATTCAACTCGAGATCGATAATTTTCAATTAAAACGTACTTAGCCAATTTTTTCCTATCCTTTTTTTTTTTTTGAGATATAGGACTCGATTTAACTGCGCTGTTTGCAAATCGCCTCGATTCATCGATGCGTGTACGGCCACCTTGAGTCGATACATCCCCGGGAAGTCGAATTTAATTTTCAATTAAAACGTACTTAGCCAATTTTTTCCTACACTTTTTTTTTTAGAGATATAGGACTCGATTTAATTACGCTGTTTGCAAATCGCCACGATTCATCGATACGTGTACGGCAACGTTGAGTCGATACATCCCCGGGAAGTCGAATTTAATTTTCAATTAAAATGTATTTGGCCAATTTTTTCCTACACTTTTTTTTTTTAGAGATATAGGACTCGATTTAATTACGCTGTTTGCAAATCGCCACGATTGATCGATACGTGTACAGCCACCTTGAGTCGATACATCCCCGGAAAGTCGAATTTAATTTTTAATTCCACTGTGACTCTAACTTGCGCTGTAAGTGCAATTATTCATGAACTTCGTGGGATTTTCGAGTCTCCTCGAAACGAAGATCGAATTTGCGGGTCGAAGAAGAGGAGCTCTCTCTCTCTACCCTGGCGACGATGTCGGTGAATCATAGAGATTTTTTAAATTAATCAATCTCAGGAGTCCTGTACCGTGTGCATTCCCAAAAATCCGGCCAAATTCTCGACGGCGTTGACCCTGGTAGGAGGTTTCAGGCTTTCGAATCTCGCGTCCAAGAGGATGGTCAGCAGGGTCTGATCCTTGTCCTCCTCGCAATGTGTCTGAAAAATAAAAAGAGCCCCTATTACCCATCGATAATGAATTTCTCCCCCGCTGGAAATTAATTAATAACCACTCCAAAGCGTTGGTAGTCCTGGCACTAATTGTCTTTCACCCCTTAACACTGCAAATCGCCAAGAAAAGCGCCGAACCGTTGCCCTATTTTGTAATAACAATTAAATCGTGGATTATCAGTGATCGTAACTCTTCAAGCCGGTTCCTATAATTACGCTCGGGTACAGCGATCGCAATTCTAGTGGCAATGTCACTTCATTGCTCTCCGTGTAGGACAGCCATTACCGACCCGATTGATCCAAGTACCCTGGGGAATTACTTTCGAGGAGGAAAATACATCCGAGGGCAGACTTTCGCTAATCGAACGCGTTTAAACGATCTAACCAGAGCCCTCGTTAAACGTCCCACGTTAAATGGTTCACACGTGCGAGAAGTGCTCCAATTTCCAGCCGAAAGCTAAACTTTTATCCTAGGACAAAGGGCGGCATTGCCGATTAATTTTTCCTCTTACCGAAGGAATAATTGCGCATGCGGAAAAATGGATTCCCAGGCGTTAATGCCCATGAATTTCGGGGGAAATTGAAACGACGAAAATGTCGAAGAAAGGTCCGGTCTCGGAATTTTAAAAGAATTTGTTCTGCAACGTCAGTTGCAGTAGTTGACTGCATCAACAGTGATATCAATTGGCATCAATCAGTCCTCGTCTGTGGGGCTAATTCCTTTATGGGATTTAAATGCGAAAACAGGGTTGACGAAATTTCGCTTGGCGAAATAAGTGCGACTATCGTCCTGTCGTTTGAACGGCGGAAATTCGCCCTTTCTGCGCCGCACCTTCGAGCTCGATTAATCTCCATTTACCACTTAGCTCGGTTTAATAATATTTATTTATTCCCATTGAGTGGTTAGATACTCTAAGGAAGGTATCCCAGATCGATCATTTCTTTTATAATATGTTATAGTAGACTCAAAACAAAGCGACACGTATTTTTTCTCATCTGCCATTAAACACTTTAAGGGGGTGAAACCACCACCCAAAGTAATGCATGTCAAGGGGCGATTTGGCAGTTTCACCCAAAAACATAATACTTCTTACCCAATCCACCTGGAAAAGCTTTCTCATAACGATAAATGAAAAATATAATTTTCTCAATTAAAGGAAAAAAGAAAATTAAGGGGTGAGCCACAAGCTTTACTTTGGTTGGTGGTTTCACCCCCTTAAAATGTCTAATGGCAGATAAGAAAAAATACGTGTCGCTTAGTTTTTACTCTACTATAACATATTATAAAAGAAATGAAATCGGAGAGATCGACCTGGGATACCTTCCTCGTAAGAAAAGTGGAGAAACTGTCCCAAGGATAATGGCCGAGATGGGTGAAAATGTCAAGCAAGAGAAGAGAGCAATTTTCTTCTTTGTTTTCCCCTACGCGCGTCGGTTTATTTTTATTTATTTTTTTTTTCCCAAGTTCATGTGTAACGCTTCCGGGCAAAATTATTCCGGGTTTCCTTTCGAGCTTCGGGGTCCGTCCAGGTGGAAGAGCGCTAACGAGTCTTCGCGCCGAAGTGGCCCTCTCGGGTGACGCTTTGCGAATTCGCAGACGGCACCGGATAAGGAGAGGCGAAGAAGGCGAGGAAGACTAGCGCATACTTTGCCGTCTTTGTGCAGGACCTCGTTATGCTCTTCCGGTACGACTCGCACGGTAAAGGTGTCACGAGCCGCGTCTCCGTGTTTTCCAAAAGCCTTGACGGCGACGTGGTGCTGTCCCAGGTCTTTCCTGGATGGAACCCCGACGAGGGTGGAGGCGGCCTCGTCCCAGAACATCCAGCTCGACAGTTCCTTCCCATTACTGCCGCGCACCTGCAACAAAACCAATAAAAAAAAAAGATAAGTAAATAACCACGTGACGAGTTACCGAAATGATCATATGCCAGGGTACAATGTTTCGTTCATCTTGTCCTAACTCTTTCCCCGGGACTTTTAATGTTTCATAATCGGGGGCCCACTTGGACGAAGATATCGAGGCGATAAAAGGGTTAGGGAGATGCGGAAGTTCGGGAGACCCCCCGGGGATCCCGGGGGAGATAAAAATGTCCGGCATCCCGGATTCGATTCGCCTCGCCGCATCCGAGGAGCCTCCTCACGGGGAATTCAATTCCTTGCCGTTAGTTCTCCCTTATTGGGATAGTTTCCCACTTCTCGCCCCCGGGCACGATCGAAGGCCCTCGAGTGCCATTCCCGCCCGAAGACTTCCCCGGAAGTGACGTCGCTTCCTGGGGCGCGATTACGCGCCGAGATATAGCTAGGGGAAAATAAGGGAGGAGTGCCCCAATTCCGTGCCGGTGCATACGATGCACCACCTCGACGTCGCACCCGAGGGGATGTTCGCCGAGGTCTTGAAGCGAGACCTTAAATCGTCTATTTGCCACTGGTACCCTCGGTCGAATATCCTGAGTATTTTTAACGGTGCGGCAATCACCGCCTTAAGGTGAAGTGAAACACGTCGAGGAAACGTATGAAGGAAAAAAAAAAAATAGAAAAAATCGACTTTCTTATACGCATTCGATGCACCACCTCGACGTCGCACCCGAAGGGATGTTCGCCGAGGTCTTGAAGCGAGACCTTAAATCGTCTATTTGCCACTGGTACCCTCGGTCGAATATCCTGAGTATTTTTAACGGGGCGGCAATCACCGCCTTAAGGTGAAGTGAAACACGTCGAGGAAACGTATGAAGGAAAAAAAAAAAAATAGAAAAAAATCTATTTTCTTATACGCATACGATGCACCACCTCGATATCGCACCCGAGAGGATGTTCCCCGAGGTCTTGAAGCGAGACCTTAAATCGTCTATTTGCCACTGGTACCCTCGGTCGAATATCCTGAGTATTTTTAACGGGGCGGCAATCACCGCCTTAAGGTGAAGTGAAACACGTGGAGGAAACGTATGAAGAAAAAAATAAAAAAAAATAGAAAAAATCGACTTTCTTCTTTCCAGCGGTTGTATTTCATCTTCTTAGGCCGAACTGTCCAGGTGGGATCGAACTCCCAGGGGATGGGATTATGGAGAAGAGGACCAATTCCGAGGCGACGTGTACAAGTCGGGAGCGTGACGCGTCTCTCCATATCGCTCCTGGAAACCGGCGGGTGTACTGCATAATGAGTCACGTGCTGCTCCCATTGCCTCACCTCTACTCCGTCGGCATATCAAATGAACATTCAGGGCGAACGCAAACAGCAGAAGTAGCGTACCACCGCATCCCATTAAATCGCGGATGGAGTTAAGGCGTGCTCGGCGCCGAGCGAAGCTGCATCTCGCGGTGCATTGAAAAGATCACGCCCGCTGCAATTCATATCCCCGTCGTTGCGAAACTTCCCCGAAAGCGAAAAAATAAAAAAAAAAAAAGAGGCCGGGATAAAAGGGGAAAATCAGGGAAGGCTAATGATATTTCCTCGACGGACGTGTCGTTTTATCGAGGTCTTGCAAGCTTTACGTTAACAAACGGAAAGGCTTGGAATTAATCTGATTACGTCCTTGTGTTTCGAATGTATGTACAGTAGGCACCCCCGCATCGGAAATATGGAAGGAAACCTATTGGAGAATTTAGTGCATTTTTAGTGATATTTTAGTGCTGCAACTACGATTTTAGTGCTCCACCCCTTATACCGAAAGTCAGTGGTGGTGGTGAGTGAACGTTCACTTCTAAATTTAGTGCTTTTTTAGTGCTACAACCTCGATTTTAGTGCTCCACCCCTTATACCGAAAATCGGTAGTGGTGGTGAGTGAACGTTCAATTTTTCGCGCAGGTACTTATTGTCGGAATAGTTTTTCTCAGGCAGAATTTTTAAAGATTACAGGAAGAACCGTCGATCGTCGTTACAATGAACGGTGCAAGTAAAAAAGATTTATTAAGCGCGCCTTTACGAGGGAAAACCGAAGGACTTATTTCGGGAGGAATTTCCATACCCTCGATTGCACCGCTCTTTGGACCGTGGGCCGATATTTCATCGAGCTCATCCTCCTTTTTTACCCGGATTAACTTTCCCCGCTCCATTGGGCCGCCCTTTGGCAAAGTTTAAGCTGAAATCTCGCTTTGATGCCGCGCGAATAAAATAAATGCTCCGGCAGGGGAACTTCCGGCCTTTGGCCCGGTTCCAAACCCCGGGGCGCATCGCCGCGTTAAAAACCGAAATTTAAATTCACCCCCCCCTCCGAGTCGACCCTACCCACGGGGTGAGTTTACAAGGGAGGAAACGACAGATCCAAAATTCCCCAAATGGGATTTATTTTCAACCCTCTCTATTATCGTAGCAGGAATTTATCATCGAATCGCAGATCGTCGATCCGCCATATTTATTTTCTTCCGCGTGGTTCTTCAAAAGCTTCCCGATATCGCTTTAAAAACTGAAATTTAAATTCACCCCTCCCCGAGTCGACCCTACCCACGGGGTGAGTTTACAAGGGAGGAAACGACAGATCCAAAATTCCCCAAATGGGATTTATTTTCAACCCTCTCTATTATCGTAGCAGGAATTTATCATCGAATCGCGGATCGTCGATCCGCCATATTTATTTTCTTCCGCGTGGTTCTTCAAAAGCTTCCCGATATCGCGTTAAAAACCGATATTAAAATTCACTCCCGAATCCGTTCCTACCCACGGGGTTAATTAACACGCGAGGAAACGAGAAATTCCAAATTTTCACCCAATGGGATTTATTTTCAACTCTATTCCGTGGCAGGAATTGATCATCGAAATATGGACCGTCGACCCCCCGTTTTTATTTCTCTAGGTGAGGGAAGGTTGGCAGTAATAAATTTAAGAATTGAAAAAGAAACTATATGTATATATTTCCGTTAGGGCGTACCTCGTAGTGGTCGACGTTTCCGCCGAAGGCCTGCTTGGGGATTTTTATTTTAAGGACGTGGCCGACGGCGACGACGGCGCCCGGGACCCCCCAAAGTCTCTCGACCCGATGTTTCTTGGCATCCCGAATTTTCTCCCGGTCCTTCCGATGGTCCCGATGACCCTCGTGGACCGTCACCGGGGAAGTCTCCTCGCCGACGTCGTCGAAGACCAGGTCATCTTCTTGCAGCGTCACCCCGAGGACCAGGGGCACCAGGAGGAAGGCCAACAGGCAGAGGGGCTTCATCTTCGGGGATCCTAAACGCACCCGTTGCGTATCATACCATGCTGTCGACCCTGAAAGCAGAATATTAAGAGATTTATAAATAAATCCACGTACCAATTTATTTTCGATTTTTTTTTTTTTTCATTCGACAGAAAGAGGCGGACGAGGAAAAATGCCATTTGAGGGAGAATTGTAACTCAGACCCGGGAATTCATTTTAACGATTAATATCTATTTAACAGGAAGTGATCGGTTGGGGGAAATAAAAAAATGTCCTTTAAGGGAGCCGACGAATCATTGGTTCAACAGGAAGCGACGGGGACGGGGAAGATGTCCCCGAAGGAGGTGACAAATCTAGAACGGTGTTCTCGATCATCTCTCGATCCCTCGGGAGAGGATCGCGGCTGTATTCCTGGACGAAAGAGCATCTCCACGTCCGGCCTTGCCGACTAATGGAACGGTATTGGAGGAGAGCAATACGACGAAATAAAAGCGCAATGGGGGGGTTTATTGGCCATCATTGGCTCCCATTGAAGGCATTTATTTTCTCGACTCTCTTTCGCGCCGAGTGAAAAACCCTCATTGTGCTAAACTCCCTCCGAGCGAGGAAATTGTTCTCCCTAGCTTGGCCGATGACGTCCGATAATCGCAAAGATTTTCATAAATTAGGGTAAAGTCACTTAAAGGGAAAACATTGGGTATTAATTTGTTGGACTGATAGGTAATCAATTGATTTACACAGGTACACCTAGTTAAAAAAAAAGTGTCACTTTCGCATCGGCTTAAGGTGAAGTGAAACACGTCGAGGAACTTGATCGACGTCGATAAAGAAGATTTTTCTAAATGCCTACGCTGCCGACGTTGGTTTTTATATCGACAGCTGTGTCGAATTATATTGGGTATTGTACCAAATGGCATAATCCATCTGTCGTTTCCGTACAATAATTATAAAGAAATCGAAGTAAAACTCCAGAAATCCTCTGGATTCATGATTTCTGAGGCCCTAATTGGCTGCAGAGGGACCCCCTGCGCCATCTGTGATTCCCAGGTCAATTAAATTTTCACTCCGAGACCTCGTATTACCATCGTTTTGGCATAGAAGCGCATACAACACTTTTTAAAAAAAGTGTTGTATGCGCTTTTATGCCAAACTTTAAAAAAAAAAGTGTAGTACTCGAATCGACTGATTTGAGGGGGGGGTTTCACTTCACCTTAAGCGACGAGTTAAGGTCCGATGGGTTTAATCGATTCCATCGACATTAACAGTGGACAACGGGGTTTCGCAATTGGCGAGGTCTCGTTAATTAGCTCGGCTGCGAGTCGTGATGCAATATGCAAATGCATTTTGCGCAACGCGGTTGCTCGCAAAGCAAGTGAGTACGATAATCGGGCGCGTTTGGGCGAGGGGTCGATTCGTTTTAAGGAGAGGCATCGCGGGGTGAAAAAGGAAGAACCCCCCAGGGGTTGTTCGCACCCTTTCCTCCTACGGGGCGATCGATGGATCTCTCGAGTGGGTACCAATAAACCCGGGGCAGTGGTCTAACGAGGACCCGGGTCCCGAGGGTCCTCCAGGGAGTTCGGCACCGACTCTCCTAGAAGGTCGACTTTCAATTTGCGTAATTGCACTTTCCGCCCTGGGACACGTTATATTCTCGGTTATCGGGGGGGTGCGCCTACGTTCTCTAAGAGATATCGACGCCCTTATCGTCCCGTGACCCAAGGAAGCAATTGCTGCCTCGATAGATTCGGACAATATTTTATATCTTCGAATTAATATCACCTCAGGGTAATTAGACTCTCGCCTCATAAGATTTCCGCCTTAAAATCAAGGCTCCGCGTACGTGGTAATGGGTTAATTAACATTATTCTAATACAATCCGACGATACAATTGAAATGACAGATTGCTCGATATAAAATGCGAAAAAAAAAACTAAAAAAATATAATTTCTGCACATGAGATGGGGACATAATTTCTGATATTTATCCTGATGTAATTAGATAACGTAATGAAATAATCGCCGGTCGACGAAATACTCCGACACTTGAAAATCTGATTTCTCAGGGAGACCGTGGGTATATCTCGAAATTAATATCGAGATAATAATTGGCTGGTAATATATCTGAGATGCGGTTTTTTATTTATCTCGCTTTTCCCTTCGGCCCGAGCTCGCCATTTTCGATCGCCATGATCCATCGGCCATGATCGATCGGTCAATTATTATTGAGATATTTCTCGATATTAATATCGTCTAATAATTGGCTGGTAATATATCTGAGATGCGGTTTTTTATTTATCTCGCTTTTCCCTTCGGCCCGAGCTCGCCATTTTCGATCGCCATGATCCATCGGCCATGATCGATCGGTCAATTATTATTGAGATATTTCTCGATATTAATATCGTCTAATATTTGGCTGGTACTATATCTGAGATGCGGTTTTTTATTTATCTCGCTTTTCCCTTCGGCCCGAGCTCGCCATTTTCGATCGCCATGATCCATCGGTCAATAATATCTCGATATTAATATCATCTAATATTTGACTGATAATATATCTGAGATGCGGTTTTTTATTTATCTCGCTTTTCCCTTCTGCCCGAACTCGCCATTTTCGATCGCCATGATCCATCGGCCATGATCGATCGGTCACGATCGGTGGATCTATATTAGCGACTTTGGCCCGGAAGCCAAAGTGGGTGATCGATGTTTTTCAATCGTTCGACTCTCCTCTCGGGACGATCGATCCTCATCCATCCGTGTCCAAGTACGAGGAGCGAAGACCGCGTAACGAATCGCGAAAAGGATCCCGGATCCCGGAATTCCTTCCTTTTCGAAAAGAGGCAGTCCTGCCCGATCTACATCCGCGAGCCGCAAAAAGAAAATTGAAAAGAAGGAGAAAAAGTGCCGTAAAATCGATTACCGTTAAAAAGTAAGTACCCTGACTTCGGTACCGCACGCGCAACGAGCTATGAGAATTTCCTCCCGCCGATTGGAATTGGCGTTAGGAAATTCCATGAAAAATTCCCGCAACGCGGTGCATCCTTTGGCGAAATATGAGGTACTCTAATCGTGCAATTAAGCCATCTCGATTAAAGTCAACGGCGATCCAATCTGGAATTAACCGCGACGGGGTCCGTTTATACCGCGGTTACACGTAACACGTAACAAGCTACACGTAGCACGTTACACGCGACATTACGTAGTCCGAAACGGACTGGACTCGGTTTACACGTAGATAGCCCCGAGATTGCGTAAACGCGAGTCCGAGTGCACCTGTTTTTACGGTCCGATTTGACATGACCCCTCGAGGACGAACACGCGTTAAAGCGTCGACCCGCAATTGCGTGTACGCGTTCCCAGGTACAGGGAGACAATTCGACGTGGTGCAACGAGAGATAGAGAGCAAGAGGGATACGGGCGTACACGAAGTTTGATAAGCGACAGGGCGCCCGATAAGGGCAACGCACCTGCGGTGCACCGAGAGAAAGTACCGAGATGTATGCCAGGGGTCCCTTATTCCCATTCTCGGGGTCGATGCATCGCATTTACATTGCACTTCCCTCCTGTTATCGAGAAGCGCTGCAACTCGCCTTATCGGTCGACACGCCGCTCGAAAGTGCAACTTGTACCCTCGATTCGGGTTAACGTGGTCGAGGGAAGAATCGACGGTGAGGTGGAGTCGTATCGCGTCCTCGCTGCACTTTCGAGTCTCTTGACACGTTTCTTCACTCAGAGGCTCTCCGCGTAAATTCCTCTCAGAGGTATTCGTGGATTTCAAATAGGCATTTTTATCCAATTTTTATATTATTTCTATTTATTTTTTATTTTCCGCACACAAGGTCAGTCATATGAAAGGTTCGAATGATTTCGTTGGAAAGCCGGTTGCACCGCGATGCACCGCGATTCACCGCGATGCAGGATTGCGGGGTGCCGCGAATGGTCACATCCGCTGGACAAGAAATGGCCCCTTCGAAGTAACATCGGCTTGCATAGTCCTAATATCGAGGCCGGCGGTGCACAGCACGTGGTCCGAGTCGGCTGCACAATGGCGCGAGCCGAGTGCATAATGCACCTACATAGGCCTAACGTAATTACGTCCAGCGATTGCGAGACGCGTTTCAGCCCTCGCACTTAACGCGTCTACCTCGATTAACGCCGACGTCGAATTAATCGGCTGAAGAATATGTCAACGATGCATATTTCTTGCAGTCAACTAATGCATTTTTGGTCTCAGGGTGGGGTAGGATTTTTCAACTAGACTTTTAGACGATACATTCCGCGAATGTTTCCATTTCGTTCGTAGAGAGTTGCGGTGTCGAAGGGACCCGCGGAATCCGCGAACGTTTTCGAGGCGTTTTCGAGGCGTTTTCGAGAGTAACGAGCCGAGCGGGGTTTTCTCCCGGGTAGAAATGTCTTTTAAGCGAAAGCAGGAAGCTCGCCTTCCTTTTGTCCCTTCCTGAGGGAGATTGAAAGCTGCCGGCAGCGTTTCGAGTTTCGCGGGGGGTCTCCGCGTCAACTAATTTCGGTCGCTTCGGGACAGGATGGATCGGGCCGGAAACCGTGTTTCTCTATTAACCAAACGAGGTCGCGAATTCGAAGGAGAGGCCAGATCCTGCCAGGAAATCCAGAGAACGTTTCCCCCGACGTCACACTAGGTGCATTCTTAAGTGCACCGAGATGCATTACCGCGTTTACCCTTTCATCGTGATCCGACCCCTCTCGAAGGGTCGCGTCGATCACCCCGATTCCGAATTAATTCCGCCGATTAATGAGACAATTCAAATACTTCACGTAAGAGTAGGAAACATAAAAAAAAAAAATGATAACGAAATTACTCGTGCAAGTACGTGCGATTGTCTTATCAGCGAGAGAACGGAGAAAGCCATGAGACCTTCCAATCAAGTTTCCAAACTAATTCCAAAGTGAATACCCGCGGCTATTTTTTCTTAACGGTAATGATTACGCGATTTACATATTTAGTCAGGTATTAACACGTGATTGAACAGTTTTTTTTATTGCGTGTACCCATTCACCGTTTAAACAGAGACTAGGTCGAATGTCGAAATGACTTTGTA